TGTTGAAATTAGTCTAGACCCACTGGATCTTAGTTCACGTGATGGTGTGTATGGTACAATGAGTTCTTGAATGTATGTGGGAGACTGGTTAGTTTGACCTTTAAAGCATAGTAGGGCTAACTTATATTCAATTCTCGCTTTCAGTGGAAGCCAATGGAGCTCTTTAAGTAGGGGAGTTACATGATGGCGTTTTGATTGCCTGGCAGCATTGTTTTGAATGCGTTGGAGTTTTGCAATTTTTTCTTTGGGTAGGCCCGAACAGTGAATGATGTATGGTTTCCGAAGTACTCAAACTCAAACATATTCGATGTTTAGTTGACCCAAATGGGCATTTTTGCATTTGGGTAGTTTGAGGGTTTTCGAGTCCTTTTTGGTAATATTTTTTTTTTTAACATTTGGCCCGGACTTATCGAGGGGGCTCTATGTTCGCTCAGTTGGTATCATGCTTGGCCACAGAGGGGATGGTCCCGGTTGGAATTCCACACTGAACGTTCTGGAACTCGGGTCTTTTTGAGGAGTTTTCAAGGCTCATAACCCGTGTGGCTCGGTTCCTATCGGAGACGGACTTTGAATTCGGACGTTCCGCCTTTCAAATTACCTTATTGTGTTGATAAGACGTCCCTCCCCCTCCCCTCAAACACGCACAGACACTATTCTTTGCTCTTTATAAAACTTTCTTTACGCCTGCGTATGAAGGGCAAAACACTGGTTTTGCTCTAATTGCACTAGCGCACAACTTTCCCCTCCTCGCTCTACATTTGGTTCCAGTAGAGTCAAAATGATGTTATCCATTGTGAACTGAAATTACACCCGGGTGCCAAGTTTAGGATATTTACATTATAGTATTTATAATGCTGTCTATGACTCACATTCTGATTTCCAGCCTGTTTAATATTACCTTCAACAAATCTACACGGCGTGAGTTTGATTTCTTTCATAAAGTACTAGACAGGTTCCTCAGCATAACAGTTATGTTGTGCACTGTGGACAACATACAAAAAAGAGGGGTATAATACAAATAATTGGTTGCAGGTAACCTAGAGGGCTGACTAATTCTCTGTCTACTCTATCTAGTTGCCCTCCTTTGAGAGCACTGAAAATATTAGAATGACACGCGCAAACTAAGTGTAATCTATTTTAGTCTATTTTTCTTTCTTTTTAGACGGTATTCTTCTCAAAACACTCTTTCTTTACATCTCCGCTGCTTTTGATATAAAAGCTTTTATAAGCGAAGGATAAAAGCCAATTTATTCTGACTATAACGAAAACAATTCAATCTGTAGAATTTCAGCCAAAAGGTAAAGTTGTTAATTTAAAGAAGACGTTTAAAGTACTGCTGCTGCTAACAGTAACAGGGCGAAAATCCAACAATAACCCATATACTGAAAACACAAACTGTACATGTCAAAATCAGACTTGCAGTTCTAACCCTTCTCTCTCTAACCC